TTAATCTTCAACAAAGGAACCAGGAATGTATAATGGGGAAAGAGCTGTCTCTTCAATTAATGGTGTTAGAAAACTGGAGAGCCATAAGCAAAAGAATGAAACTGGACCCCTATCTTACATTGTACACAAAAAGCAATTCAAAATTGATTTAACATTTAAATGTAAGACTTGAAATGATAAAGCTCTTAGAAGAAAACATAGAGGGTAAGCTCCTTGGTTAGGAAGGTAATGTCATCATTTTTGGCAATGGCTTTTTTGGATTTGACAATGAAAGCAAAGAAAACAAAAGCAAAAATAAACAAGTGGGACTACTTCAAACTAAAAGGCTACTACACAGCAAAAGTAGTCATCAGTAAAATTAAAAGGCATGCTATGGAATAGGAAACCATATTTGCAAACCACATATCCAATAAGGGGTTAATATCTAAAATATACAAGGAATTCATTTGACTAGCAAACAAATGAACACACACAAAACACCCCCAAAATTAATAAACCAATTAAAAATGGGCAAAAGACCTGTAAAGATATTTTTCCAAAGATGACATACAAATGGCCAACACGTATGTGAAAACATGTTCAACATTAGTAATCATCAGGAAAAATGCACATCAAAATCACCATGAGATATCACCTCACATATCAAATAAGAAGAGATAAATGCTAGTGAGGAAGTGGAGAGAAGGGAACCCTTGTGCACTGTTGGTGTGAAGGTCTAATATAGTCACTATGGAAAACAGTAGAAGGTTCTTAAAGAAAAAATAGAACTACCATATAACCCAGCATTTTCACTTTTGGGTATGTGTCCAAGGAAACAAAATCACTGTCTCAAAGAGATACCTGTCCTCCCATGTTTGCTGCAGCACTATTCACAATAGTCAATGTACTAGTGTCCATTAACAGATGGGTGGATAAAGAAAAAAATATGTATCAGTGTACACACACACACACAGAGTGTATACAATGGAATATTATTCAGCTTTTAAAAAAGAAGGAAATCCTGTCATTTGTGACAACATGCATGAACCTGGAGGGCAGACAGAGAAAGATAAAATACTGCATGGTATCACTTTTTTTGTTTTGTTTTGTGGAACCAAAATAAAAAACAAACAAAAAAAGTTAACGCATTATAACATTATAGAATGGTGGTTTCCAGGGACTGGAGTGATGGTAGGGGGAATACGAAGAGGGCAGTAAAAGATTTAGAACTTTCAAGTTACAAGATTAGAATAAAGTTTGGGAATTTAATGAATAGCATAGTCACTATACTTGATAATACTGTATTGTGTATTTGAAATTAGTGAAGAGAGTAGCACTTAAGTGTTTTCACCAAACAACAACAAAGTAAACTATGTGAGGTGATGAATGTGTTAAATTAACTGCATGGAGGGAATCATTTCAGTGTTTTTGAATATCAAATCATCACACTGTACACTTTAAATAGATCACAATTTTGTTAACTCTGCCCCAATAAAACTGAAAAAAATTTTAGGAAGCTTTCCCTCCACCCAATGTAACAATCCTACAGGAAATCTCAAGAGAAATTTTCTTTGAATTATTTCCTTTTCAATGCTCATTAGTTGGGTCAGTATAAAGAGTGTTTCTCCTCAGAGGGGTTATTAATTTGTTTATTGAACCCTGCCAATAACCTGACTGAGGAGAGTGCTATGTAAATTCTATAACTGGGCAAAAGTTATAATACATAACACGAGAACATGAAAGTTTATCTAAGTCTTCCTTTCTTTCTTAAAATTGTAAGAGCAACATTGTGTATTCTGAGTACATGGGATTTAAAAACAAAATTTAAAAAATATACATGCTTACATTCCTGGCCATTTATACCTGCTTTTTTGTATTTTTAGTTGTTTACCTCATTTCCTAGAAGGGCATTTACACAGGCTTCTGATGCATCGCAGATGGCTGTAAGATCATGTCCTCCTTCTAGAGCCAAAACCACATGTCCATCAGCCAATGTCATCAATTGCTTCATCAAATGACCAAAGCCTACCATAATACAAACAGAATATGTCAAAATATTAATGCAAAAGGGAATGAATCACTAAAATCTAATATTGATTGAGGATTTATTCAGTATGGATCCTGCTTCAGCAGTTTGTGCCAGCTCATTTAATACTTACAATAACTTGATAATTAAGTCCTATTATTTTCTGTTTTGCAAATGAGAGAACCCAAACCCAAGATTCCACAGCTAAGAAGTCATCACAACCAAGTCTGCACCAGTCAATATGGCTCTTCCCCAGCACACAGTACTGCTTTTCATAACACATTCTATATGTAGCTGGAAAAAAATAGTATTCTGCCAGTTTTAATAAGGTAAACAATCCCATTTGCTTGGCATTTGTTTCCTGTCTCCATCATAAGATCAGGAGCAAGGAAAGGATGACCACTCTTCCCACTTCATTCAGTGTAGTACATAGTATATAATCTAGAACAATTAGGCAAGAAAAAGACATCCAAATTGGAGAGGAGAAAGAAAAACTCACTATTTTCAGATGATGTGATAAATGTGGAAAATCCTAAAGACTCCATCACAAAACTGTCAGAACTAATAAACAAATTCAGGAGAGTTGCAGGATACAAAATCAACATATAAAACCAGGTTCACTTCTCTACATTAACAATGAACTATCTGAAAAAGAAATAAATACAATTTAGAATATCCTCAAAAACAATAAAATACTTAGGAATAAATTTATCCAAGGAAGTGAATGATCTGTATGCCAAAAACTACAATATGCTGATGAACAAAAGTGAAGAAGACACACATAAATGAAAGATATCCCATGTTCATGGATCAGAAGAGTTAATATTATTAAAATGCCTGTACTAGCCAAAGTGATCTACAGTCAATGCAATCCTTATCAAAAGATATTTTTTTTCTGAGAGAGAGAAAAAACTATCCTAAAATTCTTATGAAACCACAAAATATCCCAAATAGCCAAAGTAATCTTGAGAAAGAATAATAATGTTGAAATCATCAGAATTTCTGATTTCAAACTATACCACCAGTAGTTAACACAATATGGTATTGGCATTAACACTAGACACATACATTAATGGAACAGAAGAGAGATATCAGTAATAAACCCATGTATACATGGCCAATTAATCTTCAACAAAGGAACCAGGAATGTATAATGGGGAAAGAGCTGTCTCTTCAATTAATGGTGTTAGAAAACTGGAGAGCCATAAGCAAAAGAATGAAACTGGACCCCTATCTTACATTGTACACAAAAAGCAATTCAAAATTGATTTAACATTTAAATGTAAGACTTGAAATGATAAAGCTCTTAGAAGAAAACATAGAGGGTAAGCTCCTTGGTTAGGAAGGTAATGTCATCATTTTTGGCAATGGCTTTTTTGGATTTGACAATGAAAGCAAAGAAAACAAAAGCAAAAATAAACAAGTGGGACTACTTCAAACTAAAAGGCTACTACACAGCAAAAGTAGTCATCAGTAAAATTAAAAGGCATGCTATGGAATAGGAAACCATATTTGCAAACCACATATCCAATAAGGGGTTAATATCTAAAATATACAAGGAATTCATTTGACTCAATAGCAAACAAATGAACACACACAAAACACCCCCAAAATTAATAAACCAATTAAAAATGGGCAAAAGACCTGTAAAGATATTTTTCCAAAGATGACATACAAATGGCCAACACGTATGTGAAAACATGTTCAACATTAGTAATCATCAGGAAAAATGCACATCAAAATCACCATGAGATATCACCTCACATATCAAATAAGAAGAGATAAATGCTAGTGAGGAAGTGGAGAGAAGGGAACCCTTGTGCACTGTTGGTGTGAAGGTCTAATATAGTCACTATGGAAAACAGTAGAAGGTTCTTAAAGAAAAAATAGAACTACCATATAACCCAGCATTTTCACTTTTGGGTATGTGTCCAAGGAAACAAAATCACTGTCTCAAAGAGATACCTGTCCTCCCATGTTTGCTGCAGCACTATTCACAATAGTCAATGTACTAGTGTCCATTAACAGATGGGGGGATAAAGAAAAAAATATGTATCAGTGTACACACACACACACAGAGTGTATACAATGGAATATTATTCAGCTTTTAAAAAAGAAGGAAATCCTGTCATTTGTGACAACATGCATGAACCTGGAGGGCAGACAGAGAAAGATAAAATACTGCATGGTATCACTTTTTTTGTTTTGTTTTGTGGAACCAAAATAAAAAACAAACAAAAAAAGTTAACGCATTATAACATTATAGAATGGTGGTTTCCAGGGACTGGAGTGATGGTAGGGGGAATACGAAGAGGGCAGTAAAAGATTTAGAACTTTCAAGTTACAAGATTAGAATAAAGTTTGGGAATTTAATGAATAGCATAGTCACTATACTTGATAATACTGTATTGTGTATTTGAAATTAGTGAAGAGAGTAGCACTTAAGTGTTTTCACCAAACAACAACAAAGTAAACTATGTGAGGTGATGAATGTGTTAAATTAACTGCATGGAGGGAATCATTTCAGTGTTTTTGAATATCAAATCATCACACTGTACACTTTAAATAGATCACAATTTTGTTAACTCTGCCCCAATAAAACTGAAAAAAATTTTAGGAAGCTTTCCCTCCACCCAATGTAACAATCCTACGGGAAATCTCAAGAGAAATTTTCTTTGAATTATTTCCTTTTCAATGCTCATTAGTTGGGTCAGTATAAAGAGGGTTTCTCCTCAGAGGGGTTATTAATTTGTTTATTGAACCCTGCCAATAACCTGACTGAGGAGAGTGCTATGTAAATTCTATAACTGGGCAAAAGTTATAATACATAACACGAGAACATGAAAGTTTATCTAAGTCTTCCTTTCTTTCTTAAAATTGTAAGAGCAACATTGTGTATTCTGAGTACATGGGATTTAAAAACAAAATTTAAAAAATATACATGCTTACATTCCTGGCCATTTATACCTGCTTTTTTGTATTTTTAGTTGTTTACCTCATTTCCTAGAAGGGCATTTACACAGGCTTCTGATGCATCGCAGATGGCTGTAAGATCATGTCCTCCTTCTAGAGCCAAAACCACATGTCCATCAGCCAATGTCATCAATTGCTTCATCAAATGACCAAAGCCTACCATAATACAAACAGAATATGTCAAAATATTAATGCAAAAGGGAATGAATCACTAAAATCTAATATTGATTGAGGATTTATTCAGTATGGATCCTGCTTCAGCAGTTTGTGCCAGCTCATTTAATACTTACAATAACTTGATAATTAAGTCCTATTATTTTCTGTTTTGCAAATGAGAGAACCCAAACCCAAGATTCCACAGCTAAGAAGTCATCACAACCAAGTCTGCACCAGTCAATATGGCTCTTCCCCAGCACACAGTACTGCTTTTCATAACACATTCTATATGTAGCTGGAAAAAAATAGTATTCTGCCAGTTTTAATAAGGTAAACAATCCCATTTGCTTGGCATTTGTTTCCTGTCTCCATCATCTGCCTTAATTTTATTATAAAAGGAAGTTTTCAATATGTCACCATAACTTATATTACAGATATTATTTTTATTATGAAATAGTTATAAATGCAAAAAATAACATCTTTATATGTTATAAAATATAATGACATGATAAATCTCTTTACTTACCTCACAGTACAAGGAAAATATTAACAGTACTTCTGAAGCCACCCATGAGCTTCTCTCCACTACCATGCCTCCTACTCTCCTGTGGGACACCAGGATCCTGAGTTTGTATTTATAATTCCTTTCCTTTATTTAATTTATTTGTTTTTGAACTTAATAAAACTGGTTTTATACTTTTACATCTTGTTCTTTTCATACATTTTGTTAGTTCATCTCTGCTGAATGTACATATCTATAGTTCTTTGCTGTGTAGTAAGCCATTTTATGAGTATAGAAGAATTCACTTACCCATTTTTTTGACAGATATTTGTTTTCTTTGTTATTACAAAATCCCCATATTTTGTTATTACAATAATTCTTCTCTGAACATTCTTATACCAGTCTTCTGTTGCCATGTGCAAGAGTGGAATGAAATTGTTATGGTTTAAAATCTGTTAAATTATACCAGATTATTTCCAAAGAGGAATAAACAAAACCCCACTCTGAGAAGCAGTACATATAAGAATTCCAGTTTAGTCACATCCTTGCCAACATTTGATGTGATTTGCCAAGTGAGTGAGTGAACAATGGCATCTTATAGCAGTTTCATTTAGTTAGAAGAAAGGACCTTTCCATTTCTACTTTGAATTAGATTTTTATTATAAATAAATGTTGAATTTAAATATTACCCTACACCAAATGAAACGCTTCTTTTCCTAGGAAGCTTCCCTTCCACACAATGTAACCATCCTACAGGAAATCTCAAGAGAAATTTTTTTGTGTTGTGATTTACATTAACATTTCTAACATTAAGCCATCATTGAATCTGTAAAATAAGCTTGGTCATGATGCATTATCTTTTTTATATACAGTTGGATTTGTTGTCCTAATGCTTTGTTAGGATTTTTTTCATCTATGTTCATTATATACTTTCCCATTCTTACACTGACCGCAATTTTTGATGTGGTAGGGACCCTCTTTTTCCATTATCTGATCTTTGAATGTTGGAACTAACTATTTGAGTCTTGTGCTTTGTTTGAGGAAGACTTTCAGTTATTGATAGAATTCCTTAGGCATTATGTGTAGGACTACTCATACTTTCTATATCTTCCTAAATTATATTTTTGCAGAAGTTTTTTTTTTAAGTATTCAAGTGTACTGAAATAAAGTTGTTTAGTACCTTTATTATACTATTTTGGAACTCTAGTTAGATGTACATGGTCATTGTCATTATATCCTCAATGTACCTTAAGTTTTCATATTTTCTATGTCCCATTCTGTCCTGTACTATGTGTACTGTTGTTTCAGATCTATCTTCTAGACTTTCTCTCTGCAGATGAGTCTAATCTGCTATTTAACATTTCTATTGCTATTTTTATTTCAGTGATTATATTGTTCAATTATAGATGTTCTATTTCATTATATTTCATAACTTTCTAGTAATTTTTGTAGCCTATGCCCCTTTGCTCATGTTTTTATTTCATAATTATTTAATATTTTGTATCTGTTGTCTAAGTCTTCATGGCCTAGTTTGACTATTTGTTGTTGCTTTTGCTCATTCATCCTCAATATGTCTTAATTCCTCTGTTTATTTATTTATTTATTTAGAGCTCATATTCATGGGAACTTTATACACGAGAAGTATTTGAAACCTGATTTGAATGTGGTACTTATCTCTGAAACCAGGGTTGAGTGTGATTTTGTTTGCTTCTACTAGATGACTAGAACACTACAAACTAGGATAAATTTTAAATTCTTAGATTGCAGGGCTTTTTGTGTATTTGTTTGTTTTTAGTGCCCAATATTGTAAGTGTGGAACCCAAAACTTGATTATACATTCTCACAGAAAAGAAATTCAGATTTGTTTTCCTTTTCATTTCTTTTGAAATTCCCTATTGATAGCCATAGCTTAGGTATATTTATTATTTTATTCAGCAGTATTTCCTTTTCTCTTATTTACCTTTTCCTTAGAGGTGGCCCTTTGTCATTTCTTTCTTTATTCTGGTCTCCAATCAAAACCCTTCCCCTCATAGGCCCGAGGGTTTGACTCCCTTTTCTAGTATGCGGTAGTTTATTAATGTTCAAACTCTAGTCAGCTGGAGACTTTGGGATAGCCCAGCATAGCCAACAGCTACAGTACTTGTCCACCTTTCTTCATCTTTTTGAAAGTCATCTATAAATTTAAAAGAGTAGGTTTGATGTTTACATGCAGGAGTGTTTCAGAATATATAGTCTCTCATATTGCTGAATGCTAATGTCTCTTATTCAGTATTTTTAAATTATGACATTGAATCCAACCAGCCCAATTTCAGGGAAAATTGCAAAAAAAAAAGAAAAAATTAAAATAAATAAAGCCAAATGTCTAATATGGCATTTCATTTTTAAAAATGCTTTAAGAACTTTCAGGGAACAAAGATTTATTTTTTAAACTCAATTATATTTTTAAATAATTAATAGACTTTACTTTTTAGAGAAGTTTGGGTTTACAGAAAAATTGAACGGAGTACAGAGAGTTCCTACGTATCATCCCACCCCTCATTGTCACTTCTATCATTAACATCTTGCATTAGTGTGGTACATTTGCTAAAACTGATGAGCCAATATTGATATATTATTTGTTAACAAAAGTCTATGGTTGGGATTTATGGGATTTACTCTTTTTGTTGTATGGTTCTATGAGTTTTGACAAATGCATAATGTCATGTATCCACTATTACAGTACACAGAATAGTTTCACTGCCCTAAAAATCCCCTTTCAGTTCTTTGAAAATAAAGGAAATTCTCAGAATACAGCTAAGTGAAAAACTATACAACTGTCAAATATAAGACCCCAAAACCAAATTAAGTTGCTTCCATTTTGGAACAATGAAATAGTATCATCTTAATCCTTGTAATGTATTGAGATACCCACTCAATAAACCAGAACTGTCCAGAATTTCAGTTCTGGTCTAGCATTTGAGGTTAACCACAAACAAGGTGAGTTCATTTCCCCACTCCTTCAAACACTTCAATGTTTATTCTATTCAGTAAGCTACTATTTTGATGGAAATCTTTGTAATTATTCTATGGTTCTAAATACTTGGAAAAGTTATTCTTGAACATATTTAAAAATTAGGTGAAAACTGTTTTCAAGTACTGCAACATTTCTGTCTTTCTATGGACATAATGAAGATACCAATAGGAATCTTTTCCACATGCCACTTAGGATGAGAATGACCACACTGAGCTCTATCTTCTTACCTGATTGCTATAACAAGAATGTTAAGCTTTCAAAAATGTGTAATGCAAAATTCTGATCCTTAATGCTTAGACATATTCTTGGCCTAAGTCAAGAATAACAGCACATAGTAATTAGTTCTACTCTAGATATTTAAAATCAAGAAATACTCATCACACTTGTTGGCAAATATTTTCGCTAATCATATTGTTAAATACTCTGGACAGCTTTTCCTGTAATCAAAACCAGGTCTACAGTGATAACTTTAAAAAATATAACAATAAACCAAGTCAGTGCACCCTGTATTTTACACTGAATGTTCCCTGGCAATTGAAAATTCAATATCTAGACTTACTATTGAGCAGATCAAATCTCATGGATTTAAAAAAAGAGAGATAGTCCCAAATCTGAATTAAATTCGCTCTTTCCTCTGGAAAAAAAAAGTAAGTCCCATAAAATACCAAATTTAGATGCGATAGTAAAAATAGAAGGAAAGATGGAATGAAGCTAATGTTTGATCTCTATCCAAATTCCTCTTTCTTTTACCTACAGGGTTTATTTCCATTCACATGTTACCCATGTGATCTCTGGCACCACAGATTGAAGCAACTGAACTCTGAGTTATGCATGCACAAAATGTTTAAGTAAAGAAAAGAAATTTCTACAAGGCCCATGCCCTTTCTTCCAGCCAAAGTAAGGCATTCCAGAATAATTTTTTAGTTCTATTAACCCAAGTTCTACTGTGCCCATTACTGCTGTACAGTATTAATTTTCAGGACGTATGAGCTAAAAGTTTCAGTTGTATGTGTGTGTGTGTTTATTTGATTATAGATCATGTAAAATATTATTTAATAGGCATAATTGCAAGTTTCATTTAATAGGTTTTGTTCCTAGCTTCATGAAAGCTCATCCTGCTTGTCTCAATAAACTTAACCTACACAGTTGAAAAATTACAGCAGAGACCATAGTTACCAATGTCTTTCTCAACGGCTGGCATGTCCTGAGTATGAGGACTAACAGGAAGGAAATGTTCAATTGAGAAAACATATTTGTATAACAAAGTCCATCATGGTCTCAAGCAGTCACCAGATAGGGGGATGGAACTGGTTTCTTAAGGTCCACATACACTTTTGGTTTCTGAATTGTTTTGAGGGGCTAGAGGCAGAGCTTAGGGAGAAGCCTGTGGAGTGGCATGATGCGAAGACTCAGGTTGGTGACTGGAATTGGTACATATTCAGTGAAAATCAGGCTCAGCATTAGTCCCTAGTAAAGGCATTGACT